GTCGCACGCGCCGCCGCCCGCGCCGCCGCCCGCGCCGCCGCTCGGCGCCCTTGACGGCATCGTGAGCTCGCCGCAGCGCCTCGCCCGGGGCGTGCCCGACGCCCGCAAGGTGGCCGCCATCTTGCGCGAGTTCAACCCCGTGGAGCTGCAGCGCCACCTGCTCACTACCGCCGCCGAGAACAAGGTAACTGGGCCGCTCCCTCTTCATTTATTCCTTTTTGAGGTGTTGATTATGGATATGTAGTAAAGATAAGGTATGTCCCGCTGGGGAGGTGCAGGTAGGGCTTTCACTTCGTCGCAGAGGAGGTCGTGTGGCGAGCACAAGGCTCCGGCTGCCTTCACCCCCAGGAAAGCTCCTGGTACTCACTTGGAAAGGAGGCTGAGGCGAGCTCAGAGCCAATAATGGAGCCAGAATGGAAATCGCCAGATAAAAATCCCAAGTATGCGTATATTTTACATTTTAAGCTTCCGATTGGCAATGCGTACACATTAACCGTAAGTTAATCCACTCGTCAAGTATGTCATAATAATTCTTTAAAAATAATTGATCCGCAAACCGAGTTCTCTTTTAGTTTGTTTTCTTCAATCAACAAAGATATATCAAGTGACTTTCAATCCGTTTACGTTTAGGCTATCACACTGCCTTCAAATAAGTATTAGAAATGTATTCCTTATTTTCGTGTTTTGTTCCCGGCGTTGCTTTCATCTAACTTAAATTTATTTGAAATTTTAACTTTGCTTTAAGCTGTCATGCTACAAAATCTACAAGTCAAAATGTTTTTTAAACTACCCTCTCGTGCATGACTTCAAATGCTAGAGGTACACACATTTATTAGGTTTTTAGTGCATTTTTTTATCTATTTCCAAGGGAAATAGCACGAGAGCTACTGACCTTTACTTCGAGGCGTTGTAAGCTAAAAATATTGGAATTCTTCGTAATGGGATCGAATATTTACGTAGACTGAAAAGGTAGACGGAACAGTCTGTCAATCACCTGTTTATGTTGCTTGTTCATTTATATGAATATAACACTATATTTAGTGATTAAGAGAATATACATAGAACTCATAATATGGTAATTTGCATATTAACAGAGCGGGTCGTTCATATTCAAATTGATGCAATTCACATTATACGGAGGGACGTTTCGATATTTGTTTGAGCAGAGAGAGTATACTTCAACTCGCAAAAGGTGAGCAGCGATTGCTGTGTGGCAACCACTGCAGGGCTGGTGATTCTGCGTCGTACGTATGTATCGTGTCTTTGAGAAAAGTAAAAATTTCCTTCGATTGTCAACTATACCTAGTAAGATTAGTCATGTGACGTTAATTCTTTTGTCAGATGCATGACTGCATAAGCCCCATGAACAGCTACTCCTGCTTTGTGCATCGATAATGGTTGTAAAACGAATGCTTTGTTCAATTACCTTCCGGACTTCATTTGATAGACATTTTTCGAAATGCGTCAGAAGCAACATACACTATGCAGGGGTAACGATTCTGCATCATGGCGACAAAGAGCTTCGCCAGAGATAGATATTGTGGTAGCAAAATAGTTGGTTGTAATCTGTAATGAGATCGCTCTCAAGAAGGAGACCACTGCGAATGACCTCTCATCAAAGAAACTTTCCAAGAAATTTAATTACTTACAAATCCGAGAGAGGTTTTGTGTTAATCAGTGAAAAGCGTTCATATGATGATTCACTTTGTTGTTTTTTTCAACTTACAAAAATTTGTAAGACAAAAGATCAGAACGTGTGATGAAAGTTGCAATATTCGTTTATTATTACTCAACAGCGACTGGGGGATATGCTTTTTGTTTTAAATACATTTAAACAATATAAATTTTACTTTTCATCTCTGTGTCGTCTACTACCTGGATTTTGTGAAAATTAATTGTCGTATGATATTTTCTAAGAATATGCCCATAGTTGGTACAAAAATTTGTCTTTTGATCCTGGATGTTCTGCTTCATTTGGAAATTAATGCACAATAACACAAAGAGTCCTCTTGCCACGTCAATTCTCAATGTGGAACCTCAAGGGATCAATAGTTTTTATCGTATTACACAAGATTCTAGGCAGGACCGCAATTTATGTTCACATTCGACAGATTTCCGCAATATAGACGTTCCGCATTGAGCATGTTGTACTGTACATCAGTATATACGTGATATTATTGACAAACCCCCTCGACTTGTTCTGCTACCTGGGAGACAAACTTACCTTGACATTATAGGATGTTTAATATTCTGGACCTAGAAGGCCTTCCTTAATCAGCATTAATTAGATTACTGAGTACAGTGTGACAGTTAAGAATTGTATCGATTTCCTCCAAGACTTTTTTGTCATATAATTATACTCCGATTTAAATATAGTGGTGCTTACAGGTCATTAGTGATTTAAGGTCACTGTATTCAATCGAGAGCCTCGTTACGACTTAAATTTTTTTTTGGTATTGAAGCTCCCGATTGGATGACAATGTTCCCCTCCCCTTTCAGCTCGTGACCTTGAAGTGCCACTACGTTTAAACCGGGAGTATAATGGAATGTAGTATTGTCTTCACTTCTAGTATTTGAAAAACTGTATCTTGTAGTAACATGTTTTGTTTTCACAAAGCAACTTAACGGAAAAAAGTAGAAGTAATATTAGGGCTGACAGGCGTTCCATAGAAATTGTGGAAATTATAAGTTCTGAATCATGCTGTGATTTCCAAGTAACCACTAGCAAAGAAAGCTGGGAATTGCCAACGATTCGGTGTGTGACCGTAGCCCTCCTGCAGAGGGAACAAGAAAGTTCAACAGGTCGCAAAAAGAAGCGCCAACGCAAGACATATTAGCGATAGTTTATTGTGAGACTTCAGTTTCGGAGGTCCATCGCAAAGCGCGGCCGCCTCGAGAGCGCAGCGCCGCGCCGCAATTCGCAGGCTGCCTGGGAGCAGCGGGCGCTTTCTCCCGCTACAGCGGCGAACCCTGCACCGTGCTCTCTCGCGGGCTTCCGGGCGCACACAGAAGGCTCTTCACTTAAGTGCACTTTCCTGGAGCTTGGAGGAAGGAGATTTTGAAATAGTTGCTTTACATTAAAAAGATATAGGTCTTGAAACATATTCCCGAGGGAGGGGGAGGGGAAGGTTAGTGGAAAGAGAATTTCCATAACATCACTCGACATACGATCTCTTCTAGCTCGAAGACACATCACAATTCCTCCTGGGTGCTCCGGATTTCGTGGTTCTGTTTAAGAAGTTGCGCACTGGTTGCATGCGTTTGCAGCCTAAAACAAGAGGGGAGATTGAAGTTCGGGGCCCCCTTTCCATTGAGGTGTTTGTGTGTGTTTCCTCAAAATATCAACGTTCAAGAGGGAAATTAAGATATAATTATATTTACATAAATATAATGACTTATTACATAGATGTATGCCGTATGTTTCGCCTTTCGAAATTTTCAGGGAGCCCCACCCACTCCTCCCTAGACACCCATGCCTGGGACCTTAGTGTATTCGTGGTTTGCTACAGACGTTAGTGTGTGTTAACATGATATGCATTCTCTGGATGAGCTATGATTGTAGAAAGTTGGGGTTCCGTGGATTGGCTTGTTCACGTATTTGACATTCCCATTCAGTTCATGCAGGTCATTCAATATCAATAGTCTAATTTTGAGCAGTTGCCTGCACGAGAATCGAGGATTTTCAAGAAATTTTATATGTAGAGTCTGACATGAATCAAAGGAACTTTTCTGAAGTTTTTTGCCTCTTAGGAGAAATATTTCTTGAAATAAAGCAGTTTGTTTGAACCCTCGCAGTGTCTATGTAGAGTTTGACTATAAGATGTTGGCGACTTTGAATTACACATTTCCTTCTACTGGGACATAGCAGAATACTGAGTGTCACAGTATACAAGATGGTGTTGAATTAAGTTCCATGTGTTTTAATTCATGATTCTTGGAGCCACTGAAAATGGGATCTATTAATCGCAAAATACATGTATGGCTGTTATTCTTTATATTAAATTTATATTGTAATATACTTCGTGGTTGATACCTCCTCAATCCTTCATTAAGTAAGTTCATTATGTTACTCCTTCAAAATTCTTTCAATTTCAGTCAGCCTTTATGCTGCTCTTTGCATGGATTTTGGGAAGCTTCATTCCCATCTGAGACGGTATAATACTCTGAGGAAGCATATCTAGCAGTACCCAGACATTCAGATTGCAAAAACAAGTTGTAAGAATAATAAGCAAACGCAACCTGTGATTTTGACAAGACTCTGTTGAGCTTATAATCTTAACAATGCCTGGCCTATTTATTTACGAATCTGTACTTTTTGTCAAAAGTGACTTACCTAAGGTAAGAACATATTTTCATGAAGATACTAGTAAATACAGGAAATATATAGAGTAAAACATAGTAGAAAACATATTAATCATGTGCAAGTATCGACAGTTCTCTAAAAGAAATCCACATATAATACAAATTACATACGTTACTTTACATCAATGATAACAATGATATATAATGCATTAGTCAACATTTGAATTGTATTAAAGAAAACAAATAAACCTATAACAAGTAATGTACTTCAGCTTCTGGTTAGTGATCTCCATTGAGCATTTGATCTCTCTTGTTTTGCATATCCCTTGTTAAACTAATACTGTTACAACAGCTCATTCTTTCTCTTACGGTATAAATGAACCTGTGTATAAGAAGTTATTGTTGAAAAATAATCATATATTTGCAGCTCATTTCAATAACCACATTATACATAACTGTGCGAAAAATGCTCTGAAAGCATTGTCCATTGACGTCGAAAATATCATTAAAAGTGTTTGCAGAGTTTTCAAATTCAATGAAAAAGCTTGAATTAAAATCATATTTTAATTTTTGTGAATCTAAATTTCCAGAGAATTATTAAGTATGTTCTAAAGCAATGGTTATCTTTATTCAAAGCTGAAGAGAGACTTCTGCTCCATTGGAGACTATTAAATTGGCATGCATTATTTCACTTGGCCCAAAAGAAACCCAAATTCAATCTGGAAAATTATTTCCAATCTAGAAAATGAAATCGCAAATGGTGACAGACCAACAGTTTAGGAGCTTCATTTCTTTATTTCAAGACATTTTACTGAAACTAGAGAGCAAAGAAATTATTGCATATGATCTTCATGTTATAATGGGTAACTTTACAAAACTCTGAACATAAAATTTCTAAAGAAATTTGCTCAATTATTGCTATGCACAAAAGTTATTTGCCCACAATTCCAGAAAAGAACTTAAAAAAGAAAAATTTGCTGTAGATCACATGGTTCTCCAGTATTTAGAAAAGTGGTACAACTTAGAAGTATTCCAAAACTAGAGTTGTCTCAATCTTCTGAACATGAGGCATCTTTAGAAGTCACAGATCTTTGGATATTATTACCGTAGTGAAATGAACTCTTACCTGATGGTTTGTGCAAAGAAATCCACACATTGAAAGAAGTCTTTCTTCAACTTGAGGGGCTCATATCTCGCATAAACAGAAACACTAATTTCAGTGAGAAATAATTTCAATATTCTGCATCAAACCTGGTCTCCAATGCTAGCACAGAAAGAAGTTTAGCGTAATGTATAATGTTGATACCGACAAACCAACAGGAGATTGAGTCAATTTGAAGCCAGCTGGGCATTTTGAACATTCCATACAAGTGTACAGAAGTAAAAGAATTGTTTAAGAAAAGCAAAATTGTATAAAAGCTGATCAGTCAACTAAGGAATATTATTGAAAATAGTTAATCAATTAAGTTAAATAATAAAATGAGGTAGGTGATTGTGAGGTTAGTATAAATAATTATAAATTATTGAGAACTGCACCAATATTGAAAGATATTGTTACAGGAATTATTTCACTATTTTCTGAAAACATGTCTAGCTACTCTAGTACTAGTTTTTCCAAGATGTTGAATGGGAATGTTTTGAAAGCATTTGATTAATAAAAATATACAAAAATATCTTGTTTTTTTTGTTGCAGTCTCTTCAAAAAGAACTTGCGAAAGCCTCAAGATCAAGTGTACACCTAGTTGAACAGTTGGATAAGGTTAAAGATGAAAATGATGATCTTAGATTTCGGGTACGTTGAATTCTCTTTCATTTTTAAATAAATATTATTAAATATAAATATATATTTATGTTTGATAATATTTATAAAATAATAGATATTTATTTAACTATATTATATATATTTATGTATTTGAAGTTGCCTTTAAAAAAACATCAACAACAACTTTGTTTTAAAAATAGTGTATCATTCTGATGTATCTTCCTCACCTTTCTGCAAATTTGGAATGCATGGTTTCAGGATCATTTGGAAAGATTCTACATATTATTTTTTTTAGATTCATGAGAAAATAAAAACAAATGAGAAATAGTAGTGAAATATCGTATCAATGATTTATTGGTGAATTGTTGTGGGCATTATAGAGGTATGAATAAATGGAATTCTATTTAGCAAATTTTTTTACATGTTTGCTAAGCAGCTTTTGTTCATTAGACATTTTCAGATTTTCTGAAAGGGAGCTGGAAATTAAATAGTTTGTCAAATAATAAGCCACTTACAAAGTAAATTAAAATCATAAAAAAACAAACAAGTAAATAAAAATTAAAAAAAACAAAAAACAATCACATTAATTCAAATTGATTTGAAAATTATTAATTACATTTTTAGGATTTTGTACTTTCTAATACAAAGTGTTTATTAAAATTTACAGCTAGAAGAGAAGAGCATAGAGTTGGAAGGTACTCGTGCCAGAGTTCGTGTCCTTGAAAGACTTCAACAGAAGACTGCTCCTCCCTTGGAGATTAACATGGAGCCTCCTATGCTTCCTCCAGATGCCACTACTAATCCAATAATCCCTTTACTGGCTCTTCCCATGCCAGTGGAAGAAAACATTCACCACAGCAGTAGCACTGAGTCTGCTCATGATCATGTTGTGGGCCCTCAGTCATCAGAAACAACTGATCAAGGAGAAACAAAGCGAGAAACTCAACAGCAGACTCCAAAAAAGCGACCAAGTAAAATTCCACTTCCTGGAATGAAAACGCATATCTCTCCCAAACCTCCTAGTGGGAAACTAGCTTCAACCAAAAGGAAAGACTCTCCTTCTGGTAGAGGTAAATTGGAAAATACATCTCTGTCTGGAAGAAATATGAGAGATGCTTCATGGAAGAATAGAAGTGACAGTGTTTCCTCGCTAGGAGGGAAGAACCGTGAATCTCCTAGTGGACAACGCAGCTCATCTCTTTCTGCTCGTCACAATAGTAGAGAATCTCTTTCTGGCAATAAGAGTAGAGACTCATTATCAGCCAAGAGTCGCAGTGATTCTCTCAATAGCAAAAAGTATAACAGTGATTCAATGTCCTCAAATAGAACGAGAGATGCAACAAGCCAAAATAGTTTATCTTCAAATTCATCCAATAAAAAAGATTCAATTTCCAGCAAAGGTAAAGAAGTACCATATTCGTCTCCAGGAAGCAGAAAAGGGCATCATCAAATGGCAGCTCGCCGAGTTAGTAATGCAAGTATTAATCGAAGCAACCTCATCGACCAGAGTGATCAAAATTCAAAGGTACGCCCAACCAAGCTTTCATTTTGGAGCAACTGGCTGAAAATCGGTGGACCCTCATAATCATTGAATACAATAATCAGGCAGGCACAGTACACAATTATTATAAAAGGAAACATGAAAATTTAATGGGGAACTGATTTGTCTCTCCAGTGGTAATCAGAAGATTTTATTGCATTGTTTAAAACTAAGCTGCTTTATTTATCAAAGTATTTTGATCATGCAAGTTTAAGAAATAAATATCATAAAATCTAAAGCATTTGCAATGTTTCCATACTTGCTGTAGAAGAGACAAGAATATTTAGTGTGTGGGACAGCATTTTTGTGCAGTTTGTTCATATTCTGAAGTTTCATTTCTAATAGAAAAACCTTACTAGATGCAGTGCATATGAAAACTTAAGTATAATGTTACTGTATTGAAAATTTACACCAAAAAATGTTAAAAGAAGTATATTCTACAGAATTTCTCTTTTAGTATTAATTTGATAAATCAAAATTTATTAGACACAAATTTTTAAGACTGCAACATGAATTTTTGTATTTTAACAGTTAATTGGCTTTCCACATTTTTTTGCAAAGCAGCTTACTTTTTTTCTAAGATGCAAATTAGAAGGGGTCAAAAGATATTTATTCTTGTTCTGATAAGACTTGAAATCCAATAGTTTCCGAATTGTAATTTTTGGGAATCATTCCTCTAGTCCTGTTCATGTGAGAACTGCACATAGAGATTATGGTGTGTCTCCAGAGGGTCTGCATGTGTAAAATATAGTTCACTTGTGCTAATTCTCCTTGAAATTAAATATTTTCAGTGTTTTCTAACATTTTATGGAAATGGAATAAAGGATGTAATTCTTCATTGCTTTTCTGAATATCTTTGTAACAAAGTTAAAATTCAATAGTGCCTGTTCTGTTCCCTCCTTCAGTTTCTTAGTGTAACACATAATGTGAAAATAAAAAGTGCTTCATAGAAAACACTTAATCAAACAACTTGTGTACTTAGAAAGCACTGTTTTTATTGCACTTTTGACTGACATATAATTACCTACACTTTACATAAATTTTGTTGTTCTTTTTCTTTTATCTGTACATTCTAAATAACCACTTAAAACAATATATTTTTATTATGATTGATAAGTTCCATCAGTTCTTTGTAGCCACAGACACTCTGGATTGTGTATGAAGTGCCCATTGTGATAATATTCAAATTTCATTCTTAATAATTCAATATCCTTCTATTTCAATCATGTGACAAGGCTACAAGGTAATGGGGAAGGCAAATTTTTCCACATTTACTTTGTGCAGAATGACATAGAATAAAAATGAAATGATCAGTTTATTTTATATATCTATCAGAGTGCAAATGTTTTTTAATTTCTGTTTGCTTTTGACTATGGGAGTTCTAGCTTTTAAGTAGGTGCATTTTATATGGCATTAGGGGAGCTGAATATACAGCTTTTCATGTTTTTGGAACAGACAACATTGACCATAATAAATAATATATAGCTTGTGAGAATTTTTTTGTAAGGTTCTTTATCCTATGTATGCTCAAGAATATAGTGTTTAAAGATTGGTAACATTTGAACCCTTGTTGAATGTTGATATACACTGACATTCATTAGTTTTTTCAAGGAAACAAACTCATAATAGGAGGGATTGATTGCACAATCCAGACTTATTTTACTGTGTAATTATCCTACTGACAATTACAGTGTTTTTCTTTTTCTTGTGAAATCTACAGAATATGTTTGCATGGTTTTAGTTGCAGTGTTTAAAATTTTTCTCCACTTGAATTATTTCCATTTTATGTCTCAATTTGCTGGTCTATTTATGTTCTTTCTGTTTTTAATTCTACAAGAGTGAGTGTTAAGTTCTTGAAAATATGATTTTTTCTCTTTTACTTCTAATTACTTCAGATATTTAATTAGAAAAGTAATTTGAAGTTTGCTTGTCTTGATACTATCGTGGTGTTTGGAATGTTGAGTATGATCTGAATTGTTAAGTTACCTATCTTGCATGTTTTAACTTTTAATTTTATAATTTTGCATTTAACATTTTCTTGAGGTTTTATGAAGTAATATTCTTCTTGAGTCATCAGGCAGTCTTTTTACTGGCATGCACCATTTAAATTTACAGATACATAGATCACAAATTACAGAAACAAAACAATTGTTATTTATTGTCAACAATTGGTTAAAGATGGAGAAATATTGAGTAATGCTCTTTCATTTTCAATTAAATTATCTTATTATTTCATGGTCCAAAAAAACAAATGAAGGGTAGAGCATCATAATTAATTAAACTCTTGAGAGGAAATTCTGCTCTCATTGTACCCAAAATTTGTGCACTTTCCCCTACAAATGATAGGGACTGCTAGTATACACTTTGTAGTGTGCCTGCTTGGTAAATATAGTAAAGAGAGGAAAGAATAGTTTTTGAGGAAATACACATTTTATTGAAATGCATGTTAGTATTTTAATCTACATTCCTTATCACTTCTGACAAGGTTATGTTTTGATTCCACCTTGCATGAAATAAACATTTAAAATGGTCAAAATTTGATTATTGAAAATGCCAGCAAACATTACACTGATTTTTGTGTGTGTGTGTGTGTGTGTGTGTGTGTGTGTGTGTGTGTGTGTGTGTGTGTGTGTGTTTGTATTAATTATAAGGGACTTAAATGTATTTCTGTAATGAATAAAAGTAATCGAGGGGAAAATTGAAGTTCGTTAAAGAGAATACTTTTGGAACAATAACAACTTTTAATAAGACTTGTGCAGAAAACACATGAATTTATTGGTACGATAGTGCATGAATTAGCATACTTGTGAATCTGTGAAAGAATGTTGTGCATGCCTGAAATTTGTGTACTGATGATGCCAGAAGCTATTGCATGGTAGAATATGCTGTGTTTGTTTGGTACATGCATGCATTTACTAAATGTAGTGGTTTGAAGTGTAGTATGTTAGTTATGTAGTAAGAATGTTAAAATCCTGAGACCTGGAAGATAGAAATGGAGATCTTAGACAATGTGATTGATGTTGAGAGTAAGAGACAAGATGACAAGAAACTACAATCATACCTACAAACTCGCATCTCAACAAAAGATGAAGAGATGACTGCAAATTCTATTCTTACATTTGTTTTAGATTTTTTCTGCATAATTTATGTGATGTCCTATGGCTTTTAGCTTTGAATTCTCTGATCACAATTTATTTATTAGAGCTTATTATATGCAAAATTTCTGAGAATATTTGTCATGTCTTTATTATTTACCTTAAAATTATTATTATAATAATGACAATATTATAATTTTCAGGTATAATCCACAAACCTTCATTTCACTTTTCTTTCAAGTTTTGAAATCAGAAAAAAAGTCTAGGTAAAAGAGCAATTCTGAAATTTAATCATTTGTCTCCTCCAGGTCAAAGGAATTACATTCTTTATCTTTAAAGAATGTGAATGTATTTCTCTTTGTCTTCCTCACAGGTTTTGACAGCATCTGATAGCCTAGAACCAAAACTTTCTTCTTCCATGGCTTCAAATACAAATGCAGAGTTAACAGATGAGGTACTTGATCAGCCAGGAGATTCCTTTTCAGATTCTTTGAATAATATTCCAAATCAGGACGTTGACTGTATGCCATACAAATCATCAGCTGACACTTTACCTCTTACCAGCTCAATGTATGAGCAACATTCAGTCTATCAAGCTTCAAATGGCAATAGTGCTCAACCTTTCCCATGGCATTCTTCCTCATCAGAATATTTTGACAGCATAAATAATTCTGAAAGCATGTTCAATAATATTTCTCTCCTAAGATCTTGTTCATATTATCAAGAACAACAGTTTCTTCAGTCTACCTCTGGGCATGAGGGTTTGGCAGTATGTGATTCATTAGAAAATAAAGAGACAAATGTAATAGAGGTAACAAAACCTACTGAAACATATTCTGTGGATGCTAGGTGTGCTAGTAATGTGTGGATTAAGTTTAATAAGCAATCAAATGAATGGTAGTTACTAAGGCAGAAAGAGAAGAGTTAAAACAGATGTGAAGAAATATTGTTTTATAATGATCATGGATTACTGCATTGTGCCTGAAATTGGTGTTTAGAGCACACAAATTAAAGCAGCCCAATTTTTTTTGTTAATGTTGGCCTAGGATATTTATATTTTCTGAAATACAGAGGTAATACATTGTAAAAAAAAGTATCATTAATAAATTATTTTTCTGTCGTATCTTTGAGGTACTTATTTTAAGTACTGAATAATGTTAAACATCAGTTAAATAACTATGAATTAATCACATAGAATCTAAAATTTAATGCCGTGCCTATCTTGAATAGTGTAATAATTTCTAGTCATTTATTGAGTTTACAGTGGTCCATTTGATTGTGAAATAATTTAAAGAATTTTTTTTTCTCAAATTAGATTTAAAATATATAAATTTATACTGAGATATAACAAACAATATTTGATAGATATTCATGGTCTTGGCATTCATTAGTTTCCAAAAGAAGAGAGAACTTGTTCTGAAAAACATAGACTGATTATTGTTCCAGAACTGAATTTCCAAAAAGTTAAAAATAAGAATTGCAATGTAATTAAAATCATTTCAAACTACTTCAAGCAAGTGTGAAGAGTTCTGAAGTGAAAACTGAAGAACATTTTTCATTCATAAAAATACGTGTCTTTATTGTGAACAGTACCATTCATTTATACAAAAATAAATAAATAAACATATATAAGCAATTTAAATTGATGATTTAAATGGTTCTCTGGCTTCAATATAATAAACTTGCACATTAAGAAAAATAACAAATAATTATTAAAATTCTTTTGAAAGTAAAATAAATTGTAATGTTAAAAAAGGTATGTCATGAAGTGCATTATTTGATCCACCAGGAACCGACCCTAGGATTTTTGGTTATCAATATTTGGTGTTTGGTATTTTTTGTTCTGTAAAATAATTTTATTACAATTTAATTGCAGTTTGTTTAGTAGCTGGGGAATTTTATTTTCCTAAAAAGAGAATGCAGAGGCTGAAATAGCAGAATCCTAATTAAAATTCAATGATTAGTTTGAAAAGTGATCTTTTAGGCTCCAAACAAATGTGGAGACACTTTAAAGAAATCTTAAAAACATTTTCTTGGGTGTAAAAAGAATTGATACCCTTTTGAAGTAACTTGTTTCATTAACTTGAAAATTATTTACAGCTAAATATATATAATTTTGATTTCATAAGAGCTTTTCGTTTGCTGTTGTGGGTTGTACTACTGCATCGGTTGAAAGGAAAATCAATTAGTTCAAAAAGTTCAATTTAGTTAGAACAAGTCTACTGCTCTTACTACTTATTTAAAAATTTGTCATTAGATCAACTTTGTAAAAAGTCAGTGAAATTGTTTCTTACCAATAATGAGTGTATGTGGCCTATAGTCTAAACAGTAGTAAAGTGTGTTGTGCGAGCGTGTATCAAGAATCTTAACTGTGATATTATTAATTGCATTTTTATAGTAAAATAAACTTGATCTCGATTCAGAGAATCAGGAATCAAACTTGTAAAATAGTTATAAAGTTAAAATTTGCTCACAATGTAGTAGGTGATTTTTCTTGTCTCCTTTGTTGTGCAAAATAATGTTTTCTAGAGTATCTAATATTTAGAGTATCTAAAATTAGTATACATTTGCTCACAAACTGTGACTTCCTTTTGTAGATCACTTGTGCTGTAATACCTACATTTACAAGTATTCAGTTGATACGATCATTATATTCTTAAAAGCATTGTGCAAGAAAATACAATATTGATATTGATCAGAAATGCATAAGGCTGTATAAATGCAACATATCATGTTGTGTCTGTGGCTATGAATATTTCATTTTGTGATAGTATTTTATTATCAATGTAGATAACATAAACTAGAATTACTTGGTTATTCAGAGACTTCAATGCACTTTCTTATATTTCCACTTGCAGTGTACCCTACATCATCATAATGAAACGACAGAAGAGTGTTTTTGATAGAATGTTGCAGAAATGTGATTGGTTGTTTGTTTGCTTTTGCCATGAATGAAACTAGTTGTGTGCTGAATTACATAAGTAGATGGCAGATGCATCACAAACAGATTATTATAGACAAACTGTATTTGTAAAATTGAGTAAAATTTAATAAGTATGACTTCCTCCTCTGAGAATATACTCATCTCTATTGTATTATTTGTACAGAATTATTTTATGTAAATATTATTAAGCAGAATTTCAGCATTTGCTGATGCAGTTGGCAAAATGTTTTTATTTTCATGTTATCAACAAGTTATAATGATGTACATATGAACTATTGTAAATCTGTAAACTAAAATGGATGATAAAAGAATGGTAACAAACCTACATGAAGTGAAATTTTTTTCTCTTGCTAAACTTCTCTTTGTTTGTATTCCTTATTATTTCTGTGGTGCTAAAACAAATATTTTAGTTGGATAAGAAATAATGAGGATATTCACTTCTTAGCTTTTTTCTTTTTCTTCCTCATTTCTTCTTGTTCTTCTTGATACACATCTTCAATAATACGCATTAATTGTACCATTTTTGGCATAAAATCTTTCAAAATGTCTTCAATGTGGTCAACACGGGTTCGTAATCTGCCATTGAATGAAATATATCGTTATATAGTATGGTAAATATTACAAAAGTAAATGATATGTACAAAATGCAAATTTTCTTACTCATAAAAGTCTGGGGGTAATTCTTCTTCAATATCGGCAATCTCATCCACTGTTAAAAAAAGGTAAATACAACTTTCAAGTGTGATTCAATTCCTCTCTGTAAGTTTCAATAAAGTAAACTAGAGTGAATTTGCACAAAAGGCTGCATGTGCTCAGCCCCCCCCCCCCCCTCTAAATATTATTGTGGCTCCCAACACATAAATATTGTTTAAAAAAAAAAGTTTTTATACACAATACAAATACTCTGCAAAGAAAATGGATTAATATTTTACATTTAACATTTTACATTCTCATACATATATCTTTATACAGTATTTGAGTAAAACTTAGTGTTCATATGTTTGGATGTGCGGTTCCGCTACTCACTAGACCACTTCCTGTACACCAATTGAGACGTATGAGGTGTCATTCGTCACGTCTCAGTTGAGCGAATGTTATTTGAAGGAGCTGATATTTGAGCGAACTGTTCACTATTTAGATTATGTATTACTTAACGAATTTAAAAAACCGAACATATAATACAATTTTTGATTGAATTATTTATGTGGTTTATTTTTAGTGTAACTTTTTAATTTCTCCCTACCGCTTACGCAGTAGAGAAAGTTGTGTAATGCGGGGGAAAAAGTCAAATTTTCGGGAAGAAAAAACTTATTGCCTAGCCCTGATGACGAAAAAGTGGATAAATCCAGTTGATAAATTTAGAAAAAAATCCTCTAACACGTGGAGTAACCAGAATCCGTTTTGTAGCTTCTGAATACCAAAAAATCGATTAACGGTATAACGTCTCAGTCCGTCTGTGATGCGGCCAAATCGTTCAACCGATTTTCTCCACTATTGATATTTCCCAAATGATCTGGCTGATGTTGCGGTTTCTTAAATGAAACCGATAAATTACATTTGGGGAGTACTTGACACAAAGCCCCTGGGACATAATAATAATAATAATAATAATAATA